AGCTTCAGCCATCGACTCATTCTTCTGGAGTCCAAGCTTGTGTGATGTGTGACGTGTTGGCGATGACATTGCTGGCGAAGGCACGACGACAGCATGTTCACCCTCGGCGTGGATATCGATGGGCCGCTCGTGGTATGAACTACCAATGGGCATATCCACAGCCGGCCTGCGTGTATCATCAGCGATGGCCAGGATCACAACCCCAGCCTCCGTCTTGCGGCTCACATGCGCTAGGCTTCAGCACGAAGCACAAGGGAAAGGAGAGACAAAAACAGGCTGATTGGCACACGAGTCACACTTGGCGTTCCGCGTCTCCTCAAACTGCTGCACTTCCTCGCACCACCACAGACCTGATACCGCCGGTCAACACCGACGTTCCAAGTAGCTTGGCGATGAGGTCGATGTGAAGCGTGGCTATCTTGCCAAAGATGGATACTACATGGGCTGGCAGGATGCTCAAAGATTGTGCCCATCTGCGAGGTAGCAGCATCGGTCGGGACACGCACATCGGAGCGACTCACCAGGTGGGTGCCCGGCTGAGCGAGAGAGGCTGAATCAAGGTGTGGGTTGAAGCGTTGGTCCTCGGGTTGGTAGCCTTTGCAGGGGCTTCGGCTGCTTTGCGTGCGGTATCGTCAGAACCGTCCCAGAACCAAGAGCAGAAGAGGATAACCATGGCGGGATTCCAAAGAACAGGGTCGAATAGCGTGGCCCTGTCGCGGCATCCAGCCCGCTGCTTCGGCTCATGCTACCGACCGGCTTGATATCCGATTGTTGAGCAATGTCTGCGTCCTGGCACATCGGTATTGATGATGGTTTAGAGTCCTTGACAACCACTTTCGATCTCCTGCTGATCATACTTAGTCGTCTGTCAGAAGTTGTTTCACTTGAACACGAAGGAGTAAAGATGCACAAATAGCAAGAGTCGATGAAGAAAAGTTTCAACACTAAAGAACCCAGGCAGGAGAACGATGATGAATAGGCACCGAACGGGGGGTCTTGGAAGATGCCGATGCGAGTCTCGCAAGGGAGGCAGTTTGGAGACGACAATAGGAGATAACCAAGACGGTAAGGGAGGCATTGGTGGAGCTCAGGATGGTAGGTCAGTGGCAGATGACGATATAGATTGGGGATGAAAGATCAAAGATGTGTAGCCGAAGATGAAGGCTTGCCCTGTTGGGAAACTACAATTCAATTTTGAGGCAGTGACTGAGCTTCTGCCTTCTCGGGGGTACTTTCCCCGAAGACCAAACGTCCTACATGTCGACCTTTGCCCGAGACACCGTAGGCCTGTTCTCGTCTGACGCAAGTCGACTTGTATGATGATCAAGCTCGGTTGGCCAGTACGTGAGCTTGCTATAAGCGATACACCATCAATCGAGGTTGGCTAAGTGATTGACTGATCTCATTGTAGTATCCGATAGCCAGACTAGTGTCCGGGACGACCAACTTGATCCGTTGTCTTCTCCACACAGGGCAGAATGAGCAGACAGAATACTTTTAGAGATGGTGCTGGGATGTAATGGGACAGAGCAACAAGAACGGTTCGCGGCAGGGGCTTGCCCCGGATTTCCCCTCCTGACGCTTTGCCCCCTCCTTGGAATCCTTTCCCCTGGAGGTCTTACCCCTCCCCTGAAGCGCGGGGTTTTGGAGCGAGATGAGACGAGACAAGCTTTGGCACCTCGGCGAAACGGCGGAGTAGATTGCATTGGACCGCGTTGAAGCGCAACTGTCCACTCAGCCCTGTTCCGGTTGCGCCTACCATCCCGTGACATGGGATTGATCACACGACTGTAGCGGCCGGCGTCTCCCCGCAACGGGAGATCATGAGACGTCACAAGATCACATGGAGGGGTTGGAAGCGGGAAAACTCTCGCTCCTTCAGGCTGACCGAGGATTGATCGTATGGTGTCTCGTTGAACTCGTCGAGTGGCCGACAGGTGGGATCGGAGGCGCTGATGGCGTCGGTGAATACCATGACAAATAGCACTCCCGAGAGTACCCAGTGGGTGACAACGACTTGCTTCTTTACTAGTCAGTTGTGACACGCTGAACAGGACACGGCGGTGAGCCGAGAAAGCCGTGCCTGGGACGATAGTCGACCCGGTAGCTGGCGTGAAGAATGTCAATCGAGAACATGTCAGGACGGTGTGGTTCTGTCCGTGTCGAGCGCCGCACAGAGGCGCTGTCAAGCACTTGTGGATCCTGCTCTGCTTGTCCTTCACAACCGGCAGCGGTGGCGAGGGCCGTTGCCCACCGTCGTGTTCTAGAATGTCGCCTTCTGAGGTTGTGGGGGCTGCCAGGAGATGCTCGGCCGCGGCAGAGGGAGCCAATTAGCAGGGTGGTAAGCTACTATGATGACCCCTTGTCGCTGGCAGTGTTTGTCGGCCCCACAGCGGTGTGCGGAAGAGACCGAGCCCGAAGACGATAGATCATAGGTTTCGTCTGAGTCAAACAGTAGACATTGCGTGACAGCGGTCGAGCCATGTCGAACAGAGCAATCGGAGGACGAGATGGAGAAGTCGGCACTCAGATGCAGCCATGACAAACATGGCAGCTGGGATGACTTAACTGGGCGCCTTCAGGCAGCTCACCGCCGTCTGCAGAGTGTACGGAGCCGTTGAGTTGGCAGCTGCGGGCTGGGTCAGTCACTGGGTCAGGGGCAGAGCCATTCGCCAATGTACGCTTTCAGAAGCGCGAGATCCAGACATGGCCTGAGCCTTGATGGACAAGGCGTGGCAACGGGTAGGTGGAGGTGGTAGGAAGCTCCGTTGAGCCTCCAGGTCACGACTCTCCTTCATGCGAGAGGCGGGGAGTAGAAAACTGAAAGGACAAGTGAGCACGCCATCGAAGGAGACTGTTGGACTCGTGGCCCAGCCCAGAGCTCGAGTAGGAGGTATGTACGTGTGTACCTCCCTTGGATTGCCACATTCTTCCGAGGCAGGTACGATGAGAGGCGGAGGCCCAGTGACTGCTGCACCTGTTCCTGCACCTCCCCTCCCTGTCTAAGGCACGGTACCTAAGTACCTACGCACCTACCTGAGTACCTAATTACCTACCCCAGTCTCTATCGCGCCCCCTCCTTCCTACCACCTCGAGAACACATGTGCAGCCTGCCACGCCGGCAAATAAACCTCTATCCTTCCCACCCCCCTTTCTCCAGGTTCAACTTACTTCCAGTCACGGGCGGCCCCGTGTGCTCTCCGATCGCCCTGTGCCAGGTAGTTGGCCCACCAGCAGCGCATCGCCCCTCACCGACAACTATGGTGCTGGTTGGTGTACAAGGTAAGGAACCTTAGGTAGGTATGTACCTTACTGTAAGTAGGTGCCTAAGGTACTCCCTCCAGGTACATGCCGTAGGTACCTCCTCACTCGTGAAAGGTGCTCGCGCAATGGCAAGACTCGGGTAGGAGGTGGCTAGCTGGCTATCTTACCGATCTTGCCTTATTACCTAGAAGCTAAAAATCATTAGGGGCTAGAGCAGGGGCTCCACGAGGCCCTTCCCCCATGTAGCGCCACCCATGTGTGAATCATGCTCCGCCGTCCTCCTCCTCCACACTTGGTGCATTTTTCCCTTCCTCTCTCGCAGCCCCTATCGCCCTCTGCCCTCCGTTTGCCCTCCTCCAGCTAGCCAGAGCCCACTGAAAGAACGGCCATTTTCACCACACAACCGAAGCCAGAGCGCGGCAAACCGTACGTACGTCGGTAGCGGAGTAGGAGGGACCCAAGGAACGCTCCGCCCAGCTACATCCACTCAACCTCGTCTCACCCTTGCCAACTTCGACATCTCCTTCCTTCCTCTACTTTCCTTCACCTTATCCCCAACTTGGTGCTGGCTGTGCCCATCATCTTCCGGACCCCGAGATCCTATCGTGCGTTCACAGCATACAGATGACCTTGACCCGAGCCAGCACTCTATCCTGGATCCATCGGCGACTTGAGCCGTTGTAGTAAGCGGGTAGCTTCCGTTTGTACCGACGCTATCGCCCTCACAAGCAAAGTCGACCATTTCTTTCCCAGCATCGTCGAAGAGCGAGCCAGCACTCTCAGAAACAACACGGTTTCTTCCGGCCTAACTCGACAACGGTCAACCGCACGCAGTTCCAGAGGATCCCTCCGCTCCTCGAACATCGCGCACCACTCTTCGCCATCACAACGCGCAACCTCTCTCCATATGCTGGCGGAATCAAAAGAGGCCGACCCAACTGCTCCTCACAACAGGTTGCGCCAGCCATCCGTCTCACATTACCACCGCTGTGCTTCTCATCTCAACTCACAATCGCCTCGGATTACCACCCCTCAATATCAGGCCAACGCGGCGACAATGCGTGTCTCTCACTCTTTTCCGTAGTCCGCGCCATCTCTGAGCGCCTCCCTTTCAACAGTGTGCCCGTCATCCGCACCACCACGGTCGTCACGCCGTACTCACCTTCTTCTGAGTTTATCTTTCGCCATTAGTCCCCACTTGCCAACATGGATCTGCCCAAGGGCTTCGTTGAAGACGACAAGCGCATCTATGGAAAGGTTGCCAACCTAAATCATCTGTCTCTCGACGTCATCAGGCAGTTTTGGCAGGGTAAGTCGTTACCGCACACGACTGAATTCATCGAAAGCTGCGCCGTCTGTCTCGTTATGACCCGCGTGGCTGACTTTGCCTTGTTCATGAATAGGTCTACACCACAACAAATAAGGCAACTTTTACGATCCGACTGCGCCGCCGACTCGAGAACTTTTGGTGGCATGTCTGGGGGCAGCGACAGGCGCATCTCAAGGCCGAAGTTCTTGCGGACTATGCAGCAAATCTCTCTGGCCAACTTCGTGCCACTGAAGGTCTCCTA